TAAGATTCTCTCTTTGTTTTTGACCTTTGGTATTTTAATTACAATGTATCTTGGTGTGGGCCTCTTCGGGTTCATCTTGTTTGGGATTATCTGTACTTTCTAGGCTTGTATGTCTATTTCCTTCACAAAGTTAGGAAAGTTTTCCAGTTTTCCATCATTATTTTTTCAAATAGGTTTTTAATTCTTTGCTCTCTCTCTTCTTCTGGTACTCCTGTGATGCAAATTTTGGTAAACTTGATGTTGTCCCCTTAAACTATCTTCATTTTTTTTTTATTCTTTTTTCTTGTTGCTGTTTTAATTGGGTATCCTCTACTACCGTATCTTCTACATCACTGATTTGATCTTCTACATCACTGATTTGATCATCTGCTTCACCTAATCTACCTCCTAAGGTATTCTTCATTTCAGTCCTTGTATTCTTCATTTCTGACTGTTTTTTGTTTTGTTTTGTTTTCTATCTCCATTTTTATGTTTTCTATCTCTTTATTGATGTTCTCATTGAGTTCATCTACTCTTCCCTTAAGTTCACTGAGCACCCTTATAACCAGTGTTTTGAACTCTGCATCTGGTAGATTGCTCATCTCTATTTTGTTTAGTTCTTTTTCTGGAGCTCTGTTCTGTTCTTTCATTTAGTATATGTTTCTTTGTCTCCCCATTTTGGCTGCCTCCCTATGTTTATTTTATGTAGTGGGTAGAGCTGCTAGGTCTCCCAGTCTTAGTAGAGTGGCCTTATGTAGTAGGTGTCCTATGGGGCCCAGTGGTGCAATCTTCTTAGTCACTTGAGCTGGGTGTTCAAGGTATATTCCTTGTATGGGTCTTGTGTGCCCTTTTGTTGTAGTTGAGACTTGGTTGCTCTTTGAGCATCAATGGGAAAGACTTACCCTCATATTGATTGGTTTTAAAGATTGGCTGGTGACTACCATGGAGTTGTGCAGGAATTGATTGCACAGAGCAGGATTCACTTTAGCAGAGCTCTGGTGCTTGCCCAGTCTGCCCTCTGGGTGTGTTGTCCTCAGATGTAGCCCCAGGTGAAGGTCTGGCTCAGTCCAAAGTGACCACCAGGTGTGCTGGCCCAAGGGCCTTCTAGGAGGGGCACCCCTATAGGTCAAGTCCAACCACAGCTTGTGCTCTGTCCAGGGTCATCTGGCACGGGCCACCAAGCAATCCACAGATGGCCACCACTTGAGCTGGGCTTGGAGGTACCTCGAGAAGCCAAGTGGTGAACCGAGGCTGGCTGTTGCTGTTACTGAGCAAGAGGTATGGGGCATGCTGAGGCCAGATGCTGATTGTTTGGGTTTTATAAACTTTTGACATACTTTAGGAAAGTCTGCAGCAACAGCCAAGACAGGCCATTTACATGAAAAAAACCACCACTGGAAATGGCTTAGGTGGGCCTGCAATTTGGGTGAGGCGGGTCTCAGGAAATCACCAGGATGAGACCACTAGGTTTCTGGAGACACAGATATGGTGGCTCCTTGCGTCAGGATGCCAGGAGTGAGGAGGGCTCAACAAAGAAACAATGGTATCTACCAGTACTTCTGTCTGGGAGAAAACTGCCCCTCCAACACTTGCCCTCAATCCACACAATTCAGATTCTCCCCTTATATCCCTGGTGGCTTTGGAGCTGATGTCCTAGCGCTGAAGCTCAGAGTGAGTGAGTCTATCAGCAGGTAAGACTGTGCATGGGCCTTTTAAGAGAAATGCCTGGATCTCCCACAGCCCTGTACCTCACTCAGCCACAATCTCCACCGGTTTTCCCACAGCCAAATTTTGTGGGGACTTCTCTTCCCAACAGTGGAACCCTGGGCTGGGGGGTGGCTTCTTCTGTATGTGCTTAGTTGTAGGACTTTTGTCCAGCTAGTCTTTAAATAATTTTCAATAATGATTGTTCTGTATTTTAGTTGTATTTTTGATGTGGTTGTGAAAGGAGGCAAGCACAGTATTTACTTACTACACCGTCTTAACCGGAATCCGGGTACATATATCTTTTTGAATTACTGTTCTTGTTTTCTTCAGATAAATATGCACCCAGAAGTGGAACTTAACTTTCTACTCTTACTATTTCTAACCTTCTATTTTAGATATGAATAATAGTTGCTCAATTAAGACGTCTTGCTATTACTTTCTTTAATTATAAGCTTGAATAGCATTAACGTACAGTTGTATTATACCCTATATTCTTTATATAAAATTATATTTTTTGTTTCATAATATATAAATTTTAAGGTCTTTGTTTACCTTTCTTCTTACTCCAGAAGATAAATTAAACTATTTATTTGAAAGCACGCAGAATGTGTTTTCTTTTTTTCTTCATAAATCTAGGTTGATATATATATTTTAAATATAGATGTTTTTCTCATTTCATTTATGTATTTTGGTTCATTTTATATTCATTCTTTGAAATATGGTTCCTCAATTCACTCAAGATTAATCTGTTTGTATCAATGTATTATATTTCTTTTGGTTTCTTATTCAGGAATATCACAATTATTATATCTATTCTTTATTCTTTATGTATGATAACCTCTTGGAAATAGTTCATATATTTGCCGTTTTTCTTTCTTTTGAGGGGACGATGTCTTCTTCAATTATTTACTATGTACTATGGATACCACAACTTCCTAAAATATTTAATGATCTAATACAAAATTAAAATAAGTTAATTGTTTATTATCTCATTTAAACATGTATTCATGTCTCATATCATTAACATGTTGTTTTATTCCTTCTGTCGCCATATTTTTATTTCTTACTTTACAGGGTTTATGTTTATTTACATACATTTTATTGAAAACCAAAAACATATGACTCAGAATTATTACTGCTTTATTTAACAAGATTTTTTCCCCAAATTATTTCCTACCTCTGCATATTAAATGACATTGTCTTTTCCTTTTTTTATAGTGAGATGTTTTCTTGGGTTTGTTCTTCTTTGACAGTGAATCTGTTCAAAATTAGAGAATGAAGTGTCTCTCTCTGTCTACTTGGTTCTTTTTAAAAATCATCTTATTGGTTCTCAGTCTTTTTTTATTGTTTATTGGGGTAACATTGGTTAATACGATTATATAATTTTCAGATGTACATTGTAATTGGACATCTATATTTCTATTGTATGATTACCACCCAAAGTCCAGTTTTCTTCAGCTACCATATATTTGATCCCCTTTATCCACTTTACCCTCCCCCTACCCCCAATATTTGACCCCATCTACCTCTCCCCTCCTCCTCCGCCCCCTACCCTCTGGTAACTACTAGTCCATTGTCCATGTCCCTAAGTCTCTGTTGGTCCTGTTAATTTGTTCCTTTTAGGTTTATATCCCACATATAAAGGTTCTCAGTCTTAAAAGCTGATTAAAGAAAATTTGAGAAATCAGAGAAAAAAATTTTTTTTTAATTTTTATTATGGTGACATTGGTTAAAAAAATCCAGTAAGTTTCAGGTGTACAATTAACAGTAAGGCATATGTATGTATGTGTATATATACATTACATACACATATATATGTATGTATGTGTGTATATCTATATATTGCTTTGTATGTTCACTGCCCATAGTTAGATTTCTTTCTGTCACCACATATTTGACCCCTTTTACCCCATCTACCTCCTCCTTATCCCCTCCTTCCCCACCCTCTGGTAACCACTAGTCTATTGTCCATGTCCATGAGTCTGTTTGTCCTGCTCATTAGTTGCTTTTAGGTTTATATCCCACATATAAGTGATATCATGTGGTTTTCAACTTTTTCTGTCTGCCTTATTTTGCTTAGCATGATTATCTCAGGGTGCCCGATCTCTATTGATGCAGCATCTTGAAAGAGGATGAAGGTATGTGGACAGTGGATAGACAAAGAGTGAAGAAAAATCTGAAGTCTCTGTTTTAGGAGTCAGTTTCTTGTATGCCAGTTTTGTGTTTGGCTTATACTTTATTTCAGGAATATGTAAGTCTCCATCTTTGTTTACCTCACTAATATTGTAATAAACCTTCTAATATGTAGATTTTCTGTATGATGATATTCATTATAACCTTAAAACTTCCAGATTTGTTGCTTTCGAATACCATTGATCAAAATCAGGAAGACATTTAAATTGTTCATTATTCAATGTAATTATTACTGAGATTCTAAAAAGTCTCAGGCATTGTCTTATACATTATTGATACAAGTATAAATAAGACACAGGTCTCGTACTCAAGATACTTACAGTAGCCAATTACAAAATGCAGTCAGATTATTCTTTTATGTATTCTATTTTGGAACTTCAACCTTCAGTTGGGTAAAACTCAATTGGGTGAAATCATTAAAATGTGTGCCTCTAGAAGGATGTTTTCTATTTAAGTACTGATCACATTTTTGCTTCCAAAAAAAGTATATTTGTGAATATCCTAATTTTTATCTATATTTTTTGTACATTCTTTCCTACACAAATTCATTTTTATAGTCTATGGTATGCACTGTATAATTTTTTTTTGTTGCTGTTATTGGTATTATATGATTTTTATGTTAAACAGTTTTTCAGAGAAAGTGGACAAAAATAGATGTGATTCCAAATTAGTCAAAAAATATAGATTCACAAACAAATATCAGAAAATAATATGTAGCCAGAATTACAGCTATGGGTTGAGTTAGCAGTTTGAGAACATTGATATGTGACATGGTCCTTGAAAGTTCCCTGGCATTGTGTAGTTTTCTGCAATTTTTAAAAAAAATGTACATCTATGTGTTGCCAGAGAGAAATCTCTAAGTTTAAACAGATAGGCCAAAAAACAGAGGAATAATTTCAAATAGGAAATAATTTGAAATCTCAGCATAAGGAAGTTTTACTCCTATATGAGTAGCAAACTAAAGTTTTTAATTATTTATGATTTGTTAAATACCAACCTGAATTATGAGTATCTAAAATTTAAAGTTTTTTTTCAGATAAAGATATTTGTAGAAGATATAACTTTTCACCATAGCCATGTTGCTACATTGAACCAACCTAAAATCTCTATGTAAGTAGCTACTAATGATCAAGATTTGGGGGGGAGAAAAATATTTTTAGGACATGGTCACGGATTTGTTTGTTTTTCACTCCATAGACAATGGGATTGAGAAAAGGTGAGACTAAAGGTAAAGGTTTTAATAAAAGGTAAGAACATATGGTATTTGTTTGTTTTTCACTCCATAGACAATGGGATTGAGAAAAGGTGAGACTAAAGGTAAAGGTTTGATAAAAGGATATGAACATATGGTGGTATGTGAGAACCAAACCTATGTGTGAAGAAAGAGAAGAAGGTAAGGAGGTAGAACTGTAGGAAGACACAAATGTGGGTAATGCATGTATTAAAAGTCTTGAATCGTGCCTCCTTCTGGGACTGTTTAAAGATAGTGATAAAGATTTGAACATAGGACAAAGTGATAAAGATTATATCAAACCCTAAGATAGTGAAGGCAACAAATAGACCATATATTTTGTTGACTCGGATATCTTCAGTGGCTAGTTTCACAATGGCCATGTGCTCACAATAAGAGTAGGAGATAACTATGGTTCGGTAGAGTTTAAGATGACATTTGATAAGTACCAGGCATGGTGTTGCAAGAATGGCAGCCCTGAGTGTCACCTCAACTCCAATGTAAGTCAAGAGTTGTTGGGAAAAGAGAGTGGCATGTCTCAAGGAGTCACAGATGGCCACATAGCAATCTAGGGCCATTGTCAATAGGACACCTGATTCAATTGCCTGAAAGGAGTGAATAAGCCACATTTGCAGAAGACAGGCTTCAAAAGAAATATCTGGCAAATTAAACCAGAAGATGCCTAACATTTTGGGAAGAATACAAGTGCTAAATGCAATGTCTGTCGCCCCTAACATGGCCAAAAAAATATACATGGGTTTATGGAGGCTGTTTGATTATAACTATTCATATTTGATTATAACTAAAATTAGGGAATTTCCAATCACAGCACTGAGGTACATGATACAAAATGGAATCTCAATCCAACACTGCATTGACTCCAGGCCAGGAATCCCAACAAAAGTTAGTACAGAGGGCGTGAAGACCGAGCCATTGAATATGAGCGTGGTGATTTGACCAGTAGAATCACGTAGTAGTATGGCTGTTTCATCTTTCATCACCTGCCAAAACTTTATAAATTAAAATTTTTTTTAAATTAATTTCTTTTAATAAAATATACTTTAATTATAGTAGGAATATACCATCTTATCTTTTCTTTCAAACTACTCCTAATTTTCTCTTTTTGCAAAGTCATTGAGAGTCCACCATCAAATTCTGTTTCTTCATGTCTTAATCATTTTCAATGAGCAAAATTAATTGGATTGGATGGCTTCTTTCCGGTCCATGACTAATGGACCAAACCAATTCCCTTTATTTTGTATTTGCTAATCAGCAGTGCTTTGGGGTAACCTCCTAATTGGAATCAAGGGAAAAAAGTTTAATGAAGGGTAACGATATTTCAGAACTAGACTCCACCTCAGCTAGACATATAGGATTCACAGTAATGGTAGACCATTCTGGTTGATTATAATCAGAAGACTTGTTTAACATATTTTTCAGTTTTGCAGCTCACTTTTTTTCTCAGGCTAGTCTCTTCATAGTCTGGCCCCTCTATAATAAACTTTCTCAACACACTTCCAACCTAACTTTTTAAACTTGCTGTATTTTCCCAAAACACAACCACACGTCTTACAACTTTTCTTACTTATATTCTGAGAAAACAAATTTATTCTTTTTGAATCCATGGCTTTTACCTTAGCAGTTCCTTTCAGAGCTTGTTCTCAGTATGCCTTATTTGTGCATCTCATATTTGATCTCAAGTGCCAATTGATGTCATCTTCTTTTTTGTCTCCCTATCAATAACCATTATTATATCTCCGAGCCTGAACAGTTATTTATTCTTAAGTATTTGTAATAACACAAGTTTTTATGATATATAATGTTTTCTTTACTTATAGCCTTATGTAGAGGTGAAATTTTTTCTCCATGCATCATTTTTTATAGGATTAGATTCACTCTTTATGTCTGCCTTCCACTAGTTGCTTCAACACATAACACTATTTGCCTCAAGAGCCTGCTATGAGTGGCATTGCTTTATCCCAAAGGCCTTTCCAATTTTCCTGACTGCTGCTTTCCTACAAACTGTATTTAATTTTCTTCAAGAAAATATTTTCACTGGAGTACATGAGAAATATTAATTTACAAATTATACTATTTTCTTTTCTTATTTGCAAAGATCATTTTCTTAAACTATTTAAACAAAGTATAAAACAGTTAAAGATAGTAAGGAAGGCCTAAATCAACATATTGAGAACAAGAAAATATCACAATCATGTCCTCTCCATCATCTTTCAAGTATTTTCCAATGATTTTTAATATGCATTAATTAAATATACACCATTTGCAAGAATTAGTTGGGCAACAAAGATACATTTATTTATTTTATACTTATGAAGCATCTACATTGCGCTGAGTGCTTAGAATTCAAAAAGTAGCATCTATCATGTATTTAATGTGTATTATGTCGTTCAACTTAAGATTTTTAAACATTTAGATTATTTTATTTTCCTCAGTTTATGACATCACCATAATTACTCTATTACATTAATGAAAAACTAAGACTTGTTGTAGGTAAATCTACTTGCATACAAATTCCATGGCATAGTAATCCATCCAAAAAGAACAAAAATAGTGTCCTCTCAGATTTTATAAATATATATATATATACACACACACATATATATATACATACACACACATGCATACATATATGCATACATACACATATATGTATACATGTGTATTTGTGTGTGTGTGTATATATATATATACATGTGTATGTGTGTGTTTATATACACACACACATCAATGTATAAATAAATCAGGTTGAGTTGTATAAAAATGTACTACCAAAGATTTTAATCAGTTTGTGCATTTTCAGATTCTGAAGGAAACAACCTCTATACTACCTTCTTAATTCACCAAATAGGTATAATACATACATTATAATACACATTTATTAGATGATACATGTCTGATATAGGACCACATTTGTAACATCATATGATCTATATACTTGCCAACAATCTCTGTGATTTGGATCAAAAATGTATGCTACTGGCTTTACTTGGAACATTAATTTGAGAAACTAAACATGGCCACACACAGTAACATTTGACCTAGAGAACCCTTGGAGAATACCAAGGAAGCTGAAGCTCTACAGAAGTATATAATATAAATGATCGGAGGAAGGTGAGCAAAAAGAGAAGGAGGAAGCAAGTAAATCAGCAGGTAAATAAAATAGAAAAGCATGTCTTCAGTCTAAAGGACCATATATCACATATATCATATTACTTTTCTTCATGATAGATTTACATTTCCAACTTCATGAGACCTAATTGATATTCTTCTAGGGCAGAGTTTCTTAATCTCAGCACAACTGTCATTTTAGGTTAAATATTTTTTTGTGGGGGGTTATTGTCTATATTGTAGGAAGTTTAGCAGTATTCATGATTCCTACACATTAAATGCATTTTGCCTTTTAAAAATTCAATCTGCAAGTAGCTTGAAGGGTATGAAAACTAGGCATATGGAGATTAAGTTGAAAAGATATGTGTGATAGTTCAGATAGGATATTTTGAATTTGGCAATATCAGAGGAATATCAAGGAAGCAATATCTGTATGACTCACTGACTTGATGTAGGAGAAATTGAGAAAGATGAGGATAAAGAAATTATGTTCTCAGGTTGAGAGTTACAGCACCGGATGACAAAAGGCAAAGTGGAAGCACTATTTTATAGATGTTTAGAAGATGGAAGAAAAATATCTTAAACCCTTGAAATTTATAGGCCCAAGAAAGAATCATAGGTCTGACATATAATAAATCCTGAACTGTTAGTATAACTTACAGCTCTAATTCTGACTCAGGTTGATTCCCAGAATCTAAAAGATTTAGGAAATTTAGGGCCTAAATTCACCATCCCTACGATCTTAAGAAATCTCATTCCTCTATAAAATCTCTGACACTCACCCTTTGATCTTGGCCTCAAGGCCTCCAGTGGTAGAGAACTCTTATGTTTTCTGAGATAATTTGCCATATTTCAGGACAGTTCCAAATGCCAGATAGGTCTTCTTTCTATTGAGGCTCAACTTGCCTCCCTCTTAATTTCTCATTAGTGGAATACAGTTCCAAGTTCCAGTGATAGACATCAGCCATGGGTCATGGCAGTTAATGCACAAGACTTAAGTCAGTCAAAAGAGTTTAAAATCAGGATGCTATTATTTAGCTTCACATGCTCTTCAACCAGTTATAAAACTTCTATGTCTCAATTATCCTCATAGCTAAAATAAAGTTAATGAATAAAAATATAATAATAGATTACTGAGATTGAATACATAATCCATCTAAAATATTTATAAAGATACTTAAAATGTATTGAAATGTCAATTAATGCCAGCTACTAATCCACAGACACTTATCCTTTCCTTTCCATAAATGCTTTCACATATTTGATGAGTATTTCATATAAATGATCATTTTTCTGAATATCTTGAAGGATATTATTTCACCTGAATCTTTCCCAGTTTAAACATGTATAATTTCCTGACCTCTTAACAAAAAAGCTTTCCATTCATTTATCCGTTCAGATATCATTCTCTCGAGGGCCTCCTATTTATCAATCTTGCTTTAAAATGTGTCATTCAGAGTGCATTAATTGACTTAGAAATATTTTGAAAAGCATGAGACAAATCTTTCTAGTGTTCGATCATTCAACTACTGTAAAATTCTATTGCTTTTTTAATGTCCTGGCAAAGAGGATATGTGTTCTCCTTGAAACTAATCCTCCATTTCCCCAAACCCAGTGCAGAATCTCAACCCCAAAGACTTCCAAGGAATTATCTGTGGTAATACATGTAAAAGCCATAGAGTGGAGATCTTTTTGACGTTTTAAGTTAAGGATGACTGTTCTTTACTATAGGAGGCACCTGGAGGGTTGGTTTTTACCAATCTCTAGTGAGCTTTTAGGTTCACCTGGGACAAAGGTGAAAAAGGAGGCAGAATATGGTTCAGAACTTAGAAGATCCATTTTCTAACTATGGTTCTTCATATTAAAGCAATTCTCAAACGCTGCTTTCTCTTTAGGACTGGGAACAAAATGATCACCCTTCTAAATATTCCTAAGAGAAGACAGTGCCCTAGGACAATACAAAACAAGTCAGTGACACTTATTTACATAAAAAAAAGAGCCAATACAGAAAAATAAAAACATTTTGAAATATGAGACTAGTCAGTGTAGGTATGATAATAGAAAAATAAAAGGAATCTTTCTGTAATCTAATTCCAGTTGGAGAAGCACTGATTTCTTACTTAGGCTCATAAAGGGGGCTAACTGGAAAGTTTACCTTAAAGCCTCAATCACCTTTATTGTCTAAGCTTCTGCCACATGAATTTTGGTGACACGAATCTTTCCTGTATCCAAACCAGCTCTCATCAAATTAATTCTGATGAAATAATATGTATTTTCAAAAAAATTAGTGCCGGTCACAATATCTATACTAGCTTCTGAGCTGGGAACTATTATTTGTGGCAAATATTTACTTAGTTGAAAAGAAAAAGGCTTGTGCCTTAGAAATGGAACGTTAAGTTTTGGTATCAAGAAGAGGAAAAATAGTCTCCCATTTCCTTCATAGTATAAGAAGTATTCAAAGACACATTAATTACATCTGCTTGGGCAATATGATGACCTTACTTATAGTCACATCATTTTTGTCATTAGGTCTGGCCCTATTTAATAAACTTGTTCTTTTTGCTTTAACAGACTATCTGACCCATCTTGTCATTAAACTGTTCTAAAATTATATTCATTCTAAGAAAATTAATGGTATAAACTTTAGGGCAATTATTCACTGGAGCCAGCTCATACTGGCCCATGACCACTGTATGTATCTTTTCCCAGCTCTGCACTCAGTGACCTTACGTTGGCAGGTTGAAATTAGCCAGAGTTTGGGTACTTTCACCAGAAAAATGAACAAACAATGTATATCAGATTGCTGCCACCCACCAAAGTAACAGCAGATGGACCCCAAATAAAATGAAATATTTTCAGGGAAAGTAAG